AAACTACTCATCCGATTTCAAAAATTCTTTCACCAATATTTAGAATGGAACTTCAGGGTGGACATAGGCTGTATATTATTCCGTTAAACATTCATATAAATTAAAAGATATAATCTAGGTTAAGGCTTTTATGTCCAACAGATGGCGCTACGAGTACGACGCCCTAAGTTTGCTTTTCTGTGAGGCATTATGCTTTTCTGTGAAAATGAACTAAAGCAGATCATCTTCTATCTATCTATATAAATTTATTCTTTAACTTTTTCCAGTTTAATAATATTTTTAGCTATACAGTAATTCTTAGGTCATAAATCTAATAATCTTTCATTTAAAAATTAAAAAATCAGATTTTTATAAAAATTGGTCTATAGTTTTTAACTATAATAATATAACTTAATTAAATTATTTATTGATGATAGTTTTTCTGATTTCTATGGATAGAATTTTTCGAATCTTTCTGTGGAATAATAGTCTAAAGCAGGGTTCGCCAAAGTGGTCGATATGGACCCCCAGGGGTCGATGCAACATCATTGGGGGGTCGATGCGGCTAAGGGGTCTCAACCTTTTTTTTTTTTTTTTGCTTAGACAGAGACCACAACCCACTTTTTTTTCGCTCATACATATACACTTGTAATAAAAATTTACGGTGGAGGTCAATGTGAGGCTTTGGAAAGTGATTGGGGGTCGACGGTTAAAAAAGTTTGGCGACCCCTGGTCTAAAGGCATTTTTTGCCTAGAATCCAATTAATCGATTCTATCCAAAAATTGCTTAAATTAATAATTTTTACAAAATGTAAAAATTATTACTTTAAGTAAAAAGTAAATTTTATCATATAGAGCTAGTGGAAGAAATGGTTAAACTAGATCAAGGCGCCTGTAGCGGCGACACTGGGTAACAGAATCAGGGCTACATAGATGGCATGTGCTTCTCCTTTTCAGAGCGAACGAGTAATGTTTCTTAGAAGGCAGTGTGGTTTTGACACAATATCTACCGAAACCCTGAGGAAAAGTAATTTAAAGAAAGGAAAGAAACTGTTCAAATGTGGACACGTTTCCAAACTAATAGAGATTTCCATGGACAAGAATACAGATCCAAACATCAATCGAGGTTCAACTGTCATAACTGAAGTTGTTGGTTATATACTATTTGGTTAATAGGTTTAGGTAACAGCTTTTTACAATAAATATTAGTTTGGGTACCCACATCATTACACTTTTCACAAAATAAGACTGCAATATTATCCGTACTATAAAGTGGTTTCCCTACATCAATTTGTGTTCCAATGGCATGTTTGGTGATCACAGATGGTTTCGGTGCTGTTTAACCACACTCTCTACCTTTTCTTCTTGCCTGCCTTGAAAACCTATCAACATTTCCACAACCCCATTTCTTGTAGCATGTTCGAAAAAATGAGAGTGTCAGGGTGATCAATTTTCTGTCCACCTACAAAATGCTGACTGTAGACTTTGCTGTACTTTGTGGGTTGCCAAGTTTGCTATCTTTTCTAAAAAGTTTTTTTTAATTTTTACATATATTACAATTATCAGACGACTTTGGTTACTTTTTGAATAATGAATTACAGTCGACCCCCCCATAACGCGGGTTCATATAATGTGGATTCGTATTTCGCGGCAAAAAAATTGCAACTGTATTCGTATAAAGACGCTAAAAGAGACTCGTAAAATGCGGTAAAATTTCATTGCCGACTCGTGTCATGACAGGATTGGTCGAATCTGGACCAATAGTGGATGAGCAGCCAAAATACTTGCATGCTACCGAGAGTTTAGGTGGGTAAGTTGAGTTTACTATCATCTGTACAGTATATAAATTAAGTACTGTAAGTCTAATACAGTATTGTAATTTTATACATTTCCTATTCAACGGCCACAAAAATTATTTCTATTAATGATGTTTCCAAAGTTCAATGAATTTTTTGCAGAAAAATAAATTATCAGAAAACGCGTCTGCCGTTTGGTGCTCTTTTGAAATTTGATAAAATCTCAGTTCAATGGTCTAAATGTCGCATTTCCGACTTCTTTTCAGTACTTCAATGTTTCCACTGCTGTCGGTTCGGACTCTTATCATCCTCATGCAGTCAAGAAGTCCCCACATGCAGCCACTGCTCAAGTAATCATTCTTTTAGAGATTGTACTAACAAAGATAAACCTGCCATCTGCTGTAACTGTAAACATGAAGGTTCTCCTGTTAGCGGACATAACGCCAGAGATAGCTCTTGCAAATTATATACAAGAATAAAAAATAATTTAATTCAGCGAACAGACTATGGAACGACATATTAATAACATACGTTTCCTGCAATATAATACAGATAGAAGTATTGCGGCTACCTCACTCTTAACATCTGTAATAAATAAATTTGACTTTATATTACAACAAGAGCCCTACTGCATAAAAAATAAACCTGCATGTTTACCTACCTCATGTACTTGTTTAACTGGTACATTGGAATATCCTTCGGTGTCTAACATCACCCCTCATAATAATTTATCAATTTTACATCATAAAAATATTAGCACTGAATATATATGCTGTACTGAAATCTTTATTAACGAACACAGATATATATTTGTAAATTTTTATTGCCCCAAAAATAGCGNCTAGGCGAACAGGGTATAAGGGTCTTGTTTAGTAGTGTACAGAGTATAATACGTATATTTTAATATATTTTTTAAAAGAAACAAAATCACTGAGAAATGTTACGTGCGTTTAACAACGGGTTCGGAAAACTTTGAAAATGTTAACAACGGGTTCGGCCGAACCTGTGCGAACCCGCTGAATATCACCACTGGATATACCCTACTCTCTACTAGTAAATAATTACGGTTTCTCTGTTTTTTTTTTATAAAGATATTAATTTATATAAATTTTAATCTAATTTTTTTTTATTTGTATCTGTCCTATAAGACAGCCTTTTGGGGGCCTTTTTTATGATTCAACTATTGTCTTATCTGCGCAGATATACGGTAGTTGTTTTTGGTGATGATATTATAGTAGTTTGAAAATAAAAATAAATACTTATTCTTCAGTTGTTGTTATTGTAAAATTTATTGTCGTTCTACTTGAATGCTTCATCGTCTTTTCTACACTTATTGACAAAAACGTTAAGCACTTAGGTATTGTCCAATTACTACAAAACTCGGCATATAGCTATGTCTTAGATATAGAAAGGGAATAACTTGAAGTCGTTGTTCAAAATTCTAATTCTGGCCCTCCCTAACCCAACCCCTGCCGCAAAGGACGGAACTTGTATTCTCAAAAACGTCTTTAGCCTTGACTGAAGAAAAGAATCAACTTAACCATTATGATCAAAGCGATTATTTTGATCATGGAGGATGCGGTGAGGAGTCGTAAACCTTTTTTGATACGTTCGAGCCCCTGTTGGCTTCGGGTCCTGATTTGGCCGAACCAATTTGCATCACTGTAGTTCTGCCACTGCTAAATATGTGTGTAAATGATTACAATTATGGTCTGATTGCGTACTAGATAATGCCACCAGAGTGCTTTATAGCTGTTACCCCAGTAGTCTATAAAAATGTTCCTAGAAGCTCGCTGTGTTCAGAAGTTTCAATGTACATGTTTGGAGGTTTTCGAACGCCAAACATGCCCATACGATGCAATTAAAGATATTACGCACAGCTGATAGAGTTTAAGAAAGGCTGCAGCATTGACCTGTAGGAAACAGGCTGGCCATTTCGCCAAATTTCCCGCCATCTGGCCGTTTTGATCTGACTGTGAGGAGATGTTGGTTTTTTTAAAACTCTTTCCTTCCTGTGGACCCCAAAATAATTTTTTAGCAAGCCCATTATGGGTTAGGCGAGGCCCAGAATGGGGCGGCAGGGTTAAGAAGACGGGATCCGACATATCAGGTAGACCACTTCCCGAAGAATTCTTGGAGTTTTTCGACTCGTCCGGATCTATTTCAGGTCTCCCACAGAGGTGGTCGGATGCCCGAGCGGTCAAGGTGGCAGCTTGCTGCTCTGGGGGACCCGGAATCGAATTCGGTCGAGTCGAAAAATCCCCAGGAATTTTTCGATGAGTGGTCCGTCTGGATATGTCGGGCTCCGTCTCTCACCATTGTGGACCTGGCCGAACTCATAATGGGCTTGCTAAAAGAGGCCCTCTTAGTGCCCACAAGGCGAAAAAAGTTAAAAAAAAAAAAGATTTATCAGTGTTCAGGAATTTTATCCACTCGGGACCCGCCAGTGGCGAAGTGGCTCCGTTCCCTGAACACTGGGCGTTCGGTCGTGGGTTCGCGACTGGCCAAGACGTGCTGGCTACGTGGAGTTTTTCGGGTTTACTCCACGTCTGTAACGCCCAAATAAGGACCAGAGACCAAAAAAGACCTCCCGGAAGGCATCGTCTAAATGTTGTGTTAAACAAACAATAGTTTATACACTTTAGTTCTTTTTTTATGCATTTATACAGTAAAATTTTCTTTCATAAAACATTTAAAATGTAATATTATTTTAAAACATTTATTATAAATCAAATTAAAAATAACGTCTTAAAAAACATATTTTCAATCATATATTTTCCAATGACGTAATAGAATTATTTTGGTGGCGCTATAACTCCATCTTCGACATGGCGGACTCTCTTGAAAGTAAGGAAATAGCTTTTAATAACAAACTTACTTCCATAGTTTGTTTAATTATTGAAAGTCCGTTTTATGTTCATAAATTCGAATAATTTACATACATGATTTAAAAGAGAGAAATGATTTTAGTCAAATTGATTAAATTTACCTTAAATCATTGAATGTAAGAAGTTATTGGTATACGAATTACCTTAAATCATTTGCTAAGGGTTTAATATGAAAGTTTACATATTGTTATGTAAAGAATATGGTTAATTATTACTAAAAGTAATCAGATGTGAATCAACTTTAATATGAGTAAATAACGTACCAGTTTGCATTCAAATTTGAAATGTAAATACTAAATAAATAGCGTATTTCCGCGTAAATAAAGAGCGTACTGTTATGATGAAAGTCGCTTGTTTTTGCGTTTTTTGAAACGCATGCCTTTGATGCTTTGCTTATAAGAGCATGCTGTTACGTGTGCCAGTTTATTTCAGTGTATGAGAGAACTGCACTGCTGTGTCAATGTAGACTAAATGTAAATGTACTGACACAGTCATATCTCTGTGGTAATCATTAAAAATAAAAACCAAAATAAAGAAAATGCTTCTTATACTATAAAAGTTTTTTAAAATGTTAGTTAAGAATTTTGTGGAATACACTGCTGTATTTGTCCTATCTCTTGTGTATGGAAATACAGTTTTTCCTAAAATATTTTTGTTAATATTTTTAGATTAAATAAATGTTTTCCCCCTTTCGGTGAAAGCTTTTCACTGGTCAAATCTTTGTTTTTGGTTTATGTGATGATTTTTATCATTATGTAGATAGGGGTGGTCAACCTTTTTAAGTGTGCAAAATCTAGTGTTGCCACCAGGCCAGTTTTCACCTGGACAAGCTGGTTTTTAAATTCATGATCTGGATTAAATATTAATTTGTCTGGTTTTTGTGGAAATTGGGAAATTATGATGATACAAAATAAATTTATGAAAAATATTTGCAAGTATTTTGCATTTATTAAGTTTGTTCCAATACAAGTCCCAAACTGGTCTAAAACTGGCATGCGCATTGTTCAGTTCTTGGCTGCAAAATGACATTGCGCATGCTTCAGTATAACATCCTAGTTTTAAATTGCTGTCAGGGACAGCAATTTTGAAAAGGTGGCAACACTGGCAAAATCTCTGATGCAAATTTCAATTATCAATTTTCTCACTGCCAACTAAAATCTTTGATAACATGTTATTATTTGGTTTAGCAGCTAGACCAGTGGTTCTCAAATTTTCTCAGGCCTTGAACACTATTCATATACTTTTTATTACATAGAACCAGGCTGGCTGGTGGGCAGTGCGAATGGTGCGACCACACAAGGTCCTGTGATTCTGCATGATCCAATTCTTGCAAAATTTAAAAATTGATCATTTTGTTATTCGCTAAGTTAACTAACTTTCCTAATCTATTTAATGGATGGTATGTTTACTGTTAAAATATTTTGTTGTTTGAAACTGTTATTTTTTTATTAAAAGGCCCAGTAAGACAACCTTGCACTGGGCCCCACTATTTCTCAGACCAGCCCTGCATAGAACATTACCATCAATATATTCAAAAATTGTTAAGTGATTTCATGTTTACTATTCTCAGGAAATAATGAAACAATAAACTAATAAATGTTAGTGTATTGAGTAAAATAGAAACATGGAATTATATTATTAAAGTAGTTGATCTTGAAACAGTTTGTTTCTTTACTGCATTTTTATTTAGTATTGCTCTACTCAATAAAATTGTATTCTATTAAGTTAAAATATACAACTCAGCAAAGATGTTGGATATTTATTTTTTAAGGTAAGCCTCAGGTTGGTTCCCAGAAAAATGTTGTTGGCATACCTGCCAAGGGTTGCCCATCCCTGATATAGGTCCATGCTGAAATTTAGGGTTATGTAAGTTTAAACAATCTGATGAAACTTGAGTGTAACAAGTGAAAGTATACATTATTTTAGTTTTAATTTCTGTGTCATTAGTTATGCAACATTAATTTATGAAATCTAATTTTTATTAAGTTCTATGATATTTTGGTGAAAAATTGAATTGATTTGGTTCAGAAGATTATGCATTTGAATTCTTATCATATACCAAATCTAGAATGACTGTATTGTTTATCATGTAAACTGCAATAGTTTTTAAAAGAGTGAGTGAAAATGGTAAACCTAGATTATTTTTTTTAAATTATTTATATATTGGCCTATAAATTGGTTATATTGCATTAGAAGAACTATAATGGTTCTGTTTGAAATTTTATTCTACATTTGTGAGTTAAAAACATGAAAAATTTAGGACTGCCCATACAAATTAGAATATATGGTTATCTCTAAATATATCCATTAATTGAGAAGAAGTAGAGTTAATGATTTTTTTTCTGTCAAATTTTTATTTTATACAAAATAATAATAATTACTGTGTATATTCCATGAGAAAATATTTGCAGAAAAAATTGTAGATCAGAATCATATTTGTAAAGATAGAAATTGCTGCATTAAAACCATTTGTGATTTCTCAACATTAGGAATTTTTGTTTAAAGCTACAGTAACTTATATGACTATTTTCATTAAATTATAATAAAGAATAGTTATAAAAACTAATATTTATATTGGTGACTAAGATCTTTGATCAAGTTATTAGAATTGAATGATGTTTAGACAGTTGTAGAAAGAATATTATATAAAGAAGAGGATGCAGAACAAGATTAGAAAATCTGTAAAAGGATTGTTGGAGTAATTTGAATTTTGACTCTGATGTCTATATTCTTTAGAAATGGTTTAGTTTAATTTAGTGCAAGATTGTTCTATCAATTGTTTGGTGGATAAAAGTTTAACTGAAGTTGAACAACTGTAGCTTACATTATTTATTGCTTTTTAAATAATTATTACACAACTTGTGGATTCAAGTTCTGTTTAGAAATGAATTATAGCCATTCATTTTTATTTAATTTAAACATACTTTGATAGATAAGTAGGCAATTTTGATTATTTAATTCAATGTTAAACAGAATATTTGTGTTTATATAATTAGATAAAATACTGTGTTATTATGTGAGGAGAATATGTTAAATTTGTGATAAGTACAATCACCACGATATTACTAGTATACAATTAAATAAATAAGAAATTATCCACAAACTCAAAGTGGACTCAAAGTCACAATATGTGACTTTGAGTCCATGTTCCCTTCCATTCGTATAGAGCTATGTTTTTGTGAATTGCAGAACTTCCTCATTCATAGCATCAGCAACTCTTCCAGACATATTTCCAACATCTTGGAGTTAGCACATCTTATATTTCATTCAGCCTTATTTTTTTTTTTTTGTATTTGAAGGCAATACTTTCCTCCAAAGAAGAGGGGTACTCATAGGTAGTCCCATCTTGGGAAGGCTTTGTGAATTGGTGGTCAGGCACCTACAGCAGTATATCTTACCTGGTGTTAGCAATAACATTATGTTGTGTGCAAGATATGTGGATGATGTCTTGATTATTCGGAGGAAAAATACTGAATTTGTCTGCGTTCATCAAGACTTTCAATGATAACACTTATGGCCTTTCATTGCAGGTGGAACAACAAAGCTGCACCAGTGTACACTTTCTTCACATAGACATTGCATTACAACATGACCGGTTGAGAACAAAAATGTTCCGTAAGACCTCATATGCTCCGCTCTTCATCCATGCAAAATCACAGGATCTTTTTGATTATAAGATCTCCGCTTTTAAGGCCTTGGTAAGAAGGGCTTACACTCATTGTTCGATGGCAGAGGATAGAAAAAGGAACTGGAGTACATTTCAAGAGTAGCAGGCAGCATGGATACCCTGCACGCCTCTGGTTTGCATGCCAGGAACAACCAGTGGAAACACCGTTATCGAGAGACGGGTCCTTTTTACCCATTACTTACAATAAGATTCTTACAAGCATCTACAAAGAAATATCCCGCTTTACAAGTAATAGGGTTGCTTACAGGAGATCTCCGATGGTTTTCTCTTGTATTAGAAATGATAAGGACCGATTGGATTGAAATACAGTCGACCCCCCCATAACACAGTAGATACGTTCCTCTTTTTATGAATCCAGCTTCTAGGAGTCCAGCCAATCACAGCCCGGCACATATGCAGTTTACAGACTACGGCTGTTTGAAAAGTTTCTTCCATAAAATTAATCGATTCTAGACTAATTTGACTCAACATTTCCAAAATACATATAATTTTTTGGGAATAATCCATGTAAACTATGCTATAAACAAAAAATTGTAGGATTACTTACCGAGTGTGCACCATTCAACTACGCCGTTGCTTAAGCTTGTTTTCATCGTGGAGATTGTCATTGAATGGCGCTCGCTTGCTTCCCGATAAATTATTTTTTTTGCGAAAAATTCATTGAACTTTAGAGACATCATTAATATAAATATAATTTTTATGGACGTTAAATAATAAATGGTTTTTGGTAGTTCCAATGCTCGTTTAAACTCAACGGTTTGTGCAATCCTGTCGTGACACGAGTCAGCGATGATGTTTTACTGAATTATAGGAGTTTTTTTTTAGTATGTTTGTACGAATACTGTCGCAACTTTTTCACCGTGATATAGGAATCCGAACTACAGGAACCCATGTTATAGGGGGGATCGACTGTAGTGTCCCAGGGGTCTATACTATCCTATTTATGATCATAGGGTGAACCATCCTGGTGAATATATTAGTGCTACAACTCAAGGTCTAAAAATGAGGATCATGGAGCATAAGTACACCATTCAGAAAGGTCTTTCCTCTACCACATTGGCTTCTTTCATCATGGATAATGATGTCCAAGGGTGACTTTGACAATGCCCGATTATTGCAACAGTATGAGGACATGGCCAATGTGAAATATCTCGGAACAACTGGAGATATTTAAAGCATTTAGGAGAGGAACAACGATTAATTTTAAAGAAATGGACTTATTAGCAGCTGTGTGGAGGGCGTGCTTTGACGTAAAGTAGATCTTCGTCAAGTGTGTTTTTATATTTTATATAAACTTCGTATTTTTAAAATTGGAATCCAGTTGGAAGACTAATTTTTTAAATGCAACATTGAGCATGCGCATATCTTCATGACATGCAAAGCTTTTTTAATTTTTGGAATTTATATTCTTTTACAAACATTCCATTTATATCGAAACTTGGTGATGACCATTAAAAACAAGTGAAAATGTTTGTTTAAAAGAGAATTAATTGCAGGTTTGTGGATAGTTGCTTATTTATATGATAAGTATTTAAATATCAAAGCAAATTATTATTATTAAAAATATTTCAGCTTTAATATATTTTTTATATATGCAAAGATTGTGTGTCAACATGTTTCACATAAAACAAAATTTTCTGTAAATTTGTGATTTATCTCAAGTAGTCCAAGATGATTGCTTAGACATTTACACAACCATATACAGTTTAAAAAATAAATAAATAAAATATGTTTGAAACATTTATGTTTTACTATATTTAGTGAATTTTATAATAAAATATGACAATATCCAAATAGCACAAGCAATTTTTTAAAATTCTTTTTTATGCCAGCAGCAATGTCACTGCCATGGTAACAGTAAGTGTACATTGTAAATGGCCACCTAAAACATTATTGACTTGCTAGTGCAGTGACTCAATTCTTAGTTTGTGTTCGGACAAAAAACAACTGTATCTAGTTTTATTTATTTAAATAAAAGTAACGAACTGTAATTTCTAATTTTAAAAAATTTGCTTATATTTGTGTAAAATAATACAAATAAAATAAATGAAAAATCATTATGTATTATAATAAATACTGTTTCAAAGACAAAAGTAAGTTGAATAGAATGCATTATCATAAACTAAATAAACAAAAAATGTCTGCCAAGATTAACTATTTTTGCATCATTTCAATATGAAACAGGTTGATTCATTAGCATAAAAAGTGATACAAAATAACAATGATGTAAGGTAATATTGTTTTAAAATCTAGCAAGAAAAAATTGAATAAAGTATACAATGCATATAAATATTGATTTTATATACAGTAGACTCCCCTATAACACTGTTGATTATTCTGTTTTATATGAATTTCATGTTGTATGAGTCACTTAGATTTTACAAATACATGTGCCAGACTGTGAATGGCTCACGTATTTGTTAAATCTAAGTGACTCGTACAACATGAAATTCATATAAAACAGAATAATCAACAGTGTTATAGGGGGTGTCGACTTTTATTGATACAAATAATGGGTAATAAAAATGAACATTCCTACATGTAATATCAAACAAAGAGCCAGATTCCTTTCTCAGCTATGAAGACTAATTAATTACTAAGTAATTTGGGAGGAGGTAGGTGGTTAGGCATGCTCTTGGACCCTTCTTTGGACAGAGGTGACAAATTTAAGCTCAGCCAACCAAAGAATATAGTTTACTTTCTCTTCTAGAGAAATCATGGGTCAATAACAGTTCTGAAAAGAAAACAACCATTTTGAAGTTTCAGGAAAAAATAAGTAAACAATAAGGGGTAAGAAGAATATAATAATTAATTTTTGAAATAATGAGAAAGAAACTAGACACATTGGGCTTATAAATGTTTTTTACAGATTAATTTTATCATGTATAGTTCCGAAACTATGTGCCTTTAATCCTTTTTTAAAGATATTTAATACAAATATACATTATTAAACATACATAGAATATTATTACAATGAAAGGGTTATTACTTTTCTTTTGTAAGTCAGATTTAAAATAAAACCTGTTTGATTCAATTGAGTATTTTGATTCTTTTTTTGTGCTCTTTTTTATTAACTATCACAATAATAATGTAGTAGGTGGTAAACAAACTAGAGGTTGCATTTTTTTTAAATATGTCAAGGGTAGCTTTACTTTTGGCCACTACTGTATATACAAAGCAAATAAAAAATATATACTGTATCTGTTTCCGGTGTGCTTCTCTGTAAACGAAGTATTACTAGCGCTTTCAAACTTTAAGTTCTTCCTCAGGTAACATGTCCAAGCGAACGCCATTCAAATTTGATTGAAAAAGAGCATCATTACAGGTTCATTGTACGTTGTTTTTTGATTATTCTATCCCGGTGTAGTGCAGTGCCGATTTAATTATATACTGTATTTTGAAGAAATAATATTAAAATTCATAGTTTGCAAGATTAAACTTTAAAGTAGTATACTATATATGAATTGTAAAGTATGAAAAAATGTGTTATTTAAAACTTAAAACTTTATATTATAAATGATAATTTTAAATATCAGGAACTAAAAGAAAACAAAAGTAGCAAATACAAAGATTTTTTCATGACATTCTATTAAATATATTGATACTTAATTTTATGTAGACTATAGTATATATTATGTCAGAATTTTTATTATTAATTGTATTTGTACAAGTGGGGTGCCAGTAGGCTAAGTGCACTTCAACCTAAAAGGTCTATTGTGTACCCTTCTTGATACATACTGGTAATTATGTGTACCGTACAAGCTCATGAGTAGTCTTACATATCTTGAAATGTACATGAAAACAAATAAAAAATAATTTTTAATTTACAATAGTAAATTCATTTTTAAATAGATCATCATATATAATATATATTTATGTTTTTACAAATTAGAATATGTTTGAAATTGGTAAAAAATAGTTTTTGATTAATTATAATTAATAATGTACAAGATGGCTCATTAGAAAATTTTGTATTGTTTTAATTCTCCTTTAAGATTTAAAAATTTATGAAAAAAATTTTTTCTGAAAATATTCATATTAATTTCTTTTACAGGTGAATCAGCTGCTGCTCTTCTTAGCATGAAAGATGGTAAGCTGTAGATATATTAGTTTTATTTTGAAATAAAAAAGAATTATTATGACTTGATTACAATTCACATATTTAAAAAAAAATTTTTTATATCAAAATTAAGCAAATTAACATTACACTTACTTAATAATGAATAAATCATTACTTATTATGTACCAGTACATTATATACACTTACTAGTTAAGTTTTCTTTAGACTGTAAAAAATTGGAGATTTTATTTAATTTCTATAATTTTTTACAATCCTTAATGTTTACCTACATTTATGCAAAATGAGCTGCTACAAGATACAGTAAAATGTTGTTGTAATGAACACTGGTATTGTGAATTTATTTTCAATCCATATCAGTTTACTATGCTTCATAATGTAAAAATATTTCAGTTTACTGAATATTACTGTAATGAAAATTTTAGTTTAATAAAAGTTGATTCCATAATATATGCAAACATGTTTTGTAATAGTAATAACTTTCTATTTACTAGTAACTACAATTTTTCAGATAAATTTTTTTAATTATTAAAAATGTACTCTTTTTTATTTAAGTAATTATATGTTTTTAATATTTTAGCTGGTCGGGCAAATCGTTTAGCTGTTTCACCAAATCGTAGAGGAAATGTGAGTTATAAAATGAATTTTTCTAACCTCTAAAACATCTACTTAAAATACTGAATTAAATCTCATTAGTTAACATATATAGGAACTTTGAATGTATTATTTCTGAGGATGAAAAATATTTTAGTATGAAATATTTTAAATAGTGAAGATTAATGTAAATTTTTACAGTATTTTTAAAGCTGATAGTATCTAATGTGTTATAAAATAATTGACATTTTGATTTTATATTTCTTATGTAGAATAATTTTATATATAATGATTTTATAAATTGTATACAATATTCTATTAAAGTCTAAGAAATTCTATTTAATAATTTCTCCTTTTTTTTCTTGAATTAGCCACCTAGAACAAGAAAAAGAAATAGGCTCATTTTTAATGAAGATGAAGACACTTCATATAGTTTTTCTCGTTCTTCACCAAGAAAAACACCTAGAGTAACATCTCCAGTCAGTATTTAATTATTTTTTAACTTATTTTATATACTATATTACTTTTCATTGTTAAAAATTTCATTTAGAAAATAATAATAATGATTCAATATATATATTACATACATATGTATAATTTAAGAAAATATTATGGTTAAGAAAATTTAATATCTTATCAATACTTTACTCATTATTTCAACAAACCAGTTAATCAGAATAATTTTTTTTCAATAACATCAATTTAAATTTTTTCAAAACTAGTTAAATGCTTGTTAGAAAATGTCTAACTGATGAAAAATTTTTGATATGTAGATAGCAAAATGGGAATGGAAAATAATTTGCTGATTCAAAAAATATAAATTCAGTGCAAAATGTAATATCAAACTATTAAATTAACATTTAAATATGTTAATAATAATGCTTTAAAATAACATATAACAATTAATTTATTAATATCAAAACTGTATCCGATAAACTTTTAAGAAATTTTTACTTGTACAATAACATTTTTAAGTGAATCTATCTATGATTATTGATAATTAATGCACAGAACCAAATTCTTGTGAATACAGAAAAACAAAAAGTGCTTTCAAGAGATCATTTTAATAAACTTTCAAAACTGTTTTCCTAATGAATTTAAAGTTTCTAAAATGCTTTTAACTCAGTTTAACATTAGAAATTTTATATTATCTTAATATCATTTCATATAATTTACAGTGTTGTTTTTGAATATCTTACATTACTTAGAAAAACACAAACTGATAACCTTATAAATAAAATTCCAGTATATTGGAATTTCATTTATAAGGTTTTCATTGGTTTGCATTTTTTCTGGCATACTTTATTCCAGTCTTACAGTGTTTGAATTACATTACTTATTTGAAGACCAGATGACAGCCTACTACTCTGGGGTCCTGGAATTGAATTCAACATGCCAAAACACCCTAGAAAATTTTTGGGGATGGTCTCTTCCAGATTTGTTAAGCCCCATCTTTCATCATCTGACAGCCCACTGTAGGACAGAATGAGCTTGAATGAAAGGTCTCATAAATTGTAAATTTGTGATAACATCAATACATTCAGAAGGAGACTGTGATATAGAAAACTTTTATAATAATATTTCATTTGACAGTTTTTGGTCTTTTGAAAAATTACACGCATATGCTAGGCTTATTTAGGATTACATATATCGTTGCTGTTTCACTTGTTTCAAAATGCATGAAAAATATGCATAATGCATTAAGTGTATCATGAATGAATATATACAGTTTAGTTCAATTTTATTTTTTTAATCTTAATTAATTTCAGAAAAGTAAGTCATTAATCCATATGATAAATCTATTACAGTAGAGCGTTGTTTATCTGAAACGTCAGTTATCCGAAAGAATTCCAGTTGGCAAATTTAAATTTTTGCTAGTGCTGTGGCACTGTAATCTTTGGCTATATCTTGGGCTACTCCAATATTTTTTATGTTTGTGTATGTTTTAGCTGGCAGCACTGGCACTTTTGTGTGGTGTTTTTCTGAGGACTGTGTGTTGTGCTGAATCAAACGTTTTTGACACTAAATTAACTTCTAAAGTATAATTTTTTTGTTTTTATATTTTTCAATATATTTATTTTGTTTGTAAAAAATAAAGAAATAATTTTTAACGATACAATAGCCATGATTATTATTTTAAAAAGTTTACGTTAGGCTTAACATCGACGAAAATTCAACGCGAAGTGACATACACAACAGAGAAAAATTTCAACACTGGATAGGTTAATATATTTTTTCATACATGATCGGTTATCTGAAACATAAGTTATCCGAACAACCTCAGTCCCCAATTGATTTAGATAAACAATGCTCTACTGCAAGGGTGGGCAACCTTTTTTATAACATGGGCCAGAATAAATTTTACGTTTTTCCGCGGGCCATAGTAATTAATTGACACCTTGTGACCTGTAAATTTTTAGTCTGCAAATATGAAATAAATAAATAAAAAGAAATTAATTACTACAATCGACCTCTCCTATAACACCGTTGATTATTCCGTTTTATATGAATTCCATGTTGTATGAGTCACTTAGATTTTACAAATGCATGTGCCGGGCTATGAACGGCTCACCTATTTGTAAAATCTAAGTGACTTTAAACACAATAAAAACAGCACTATGTAGTTGGATACGACAGACATTACATTTTCTAATTGCATAGCTTTTGCACATAGATTTTCTTGATGGATGATGCAATGAGATATAAATAATTTAGAAAAATTCTGTTCTCCCATTTTTTGTTTGAATAAGGAAATGACTCCCTTATTTTTTCCTGTCATTGCTGCCGCAACACTTCAGAAAATAATATTCAATTTAAACTAGACGAATTACATCGGAAAATATTTATTTATAATTTCTTCTAAACATCTCGCGGGCCGGATAGAAACTTTTCGCGGGCCGTAGCTGGCCCGCGGGCTGGGGGTACTGTATTAGTTTTTAAAACAATTTTAATTACTGATAAATTGTTTACATTACAATATTTAAATAAGTCAGAATTCAACTAGTAAATTCTTTAACAACTCAAAAACAAATTTATAGTAAAAATTACAATCTTTCTACATTTTCTTGATTTAGTGCTTTAAATTGTCATAAAAGATGTAATTTTTAAATAATTTGAATAACATAATTCAATCAACTTAACAAACTTTCTTAGATGAAATAAAAAATTTATTAAATGAAATGTTTATTTAAATTATAGGGTTATAAAATTAATAGGAATAAATAACTGAAATAAAATTAATTTAATTGGAATATGATTAAATTTTACAGTCAGTTTCATCAGCAGTTGTTCCAGATAAAAGAGCTGCTCATAGGATTGGATTAAGATTAAGAAATTTACTTAAACTTCCAAAAGCTCACAAATGGGTCTGCCATGAATGGTTCTATTCAAATATTGATCAGTAAGTTTCTCTAAATTTTTAATTAAAACTATCTAATTGCAACTCAAAGCTTAACTATATTTTATTTGTAATTATACACATTTGTCTTTAGACCATTATTTTTGGGCGATAATGAATTCTGTATTTGTTTGAGAGAATCCTTTCCTCAGTTAAAATCATATAAACTCACTCGTGTAGAATGGTGCAAGATTCGCAGACTTATGGGAAAGCCAAGACGGTGAGATTATTCTTTACTATTCTTTATTGTTTACATAAGATGATAAGGTGATGCCCAATGGGCAAAAAACACACCCCTTATAGTAACAATAGAAGCCCTATTAAAATTTGAAAATAACATATGGAAAAAAACAATAAAACTACAAAGAAATTATATAATATATTATATAACTGGATTGCTGTATGTTAGATCTTTCTATATAATATATCAGACTTATATACATTGTTGTTAAATTTACAAACATCAAGAATAATAAATTTTCAACATTTTTTTACAGAATTTAAAAACCTTTAAAAGAATATTCTATGAAATATGTTAGGCCAAAAATGAGAGCGAGGAAAAAAAATGAGGAATTATAAGTATTAATATTGTTCAAAGGCTAAAATAGTCTAGTGGAATAAGACCATTATAAAATTTTTAATTAAAATTCTATCAAAGTAAATAGCTCTATTATTTATATCTGGGAGACCAGAGCAAATGAGAGCAATCGCTAGGGAGTCAGTGAAAGATATTTGCAAGTTTATTCAAAAATATGTATATTTAATATATTTCTGTAATAATTTTATTTATGAGAGTATTAGTGTGTGTATCATATAGGGAGGTAATAGTTAATGACATTCTGGATGTCAGTGAAAATTGGAGTGAAAAGTAAGTTTAGAAGACATGAGCTGACAATTTTACCAAAATATCCATCTACATATAGCCTACCCCTTCATAATTTTGTCAATGTGATATTTTGAAAGTTAATTTAACATGCCTAGGTTATTAATGAAGTTAACAACTGCAAGATTTTGACTACATATTTTGAAAGTGAAGTTAGATGTGGGTCTGATTAAAGCTAAATTTATAAAATCTGTTTTATTAATATTAAGGTTAAGATTTTGGAAATTAGATGAAAGGCAAGTTAAATCATATGGAAGGGTCATTATTTATAATTTTGATGTTGGTATAAGCAATCACAAAGGATGTAGTCTGTTAATATGTTGTTAGTATAATATGTATTGTGACAATGCCGAAGGGGCCCCCTATGCTTTGGCACCATGGGACCAAAGAGTCAACATGGCGTCGGCAAAGACTGCAATGACAAATTCGTCAGGACTGACACCACTGTGTCTTCTGGGTAGACACAGAAACCGTTACATTCACAGGTACACACAAGCAGTTGTGTCTGTGGAAGCTTAGGGTTGGAATGGAGACATAGGGAGATATCCGGAAGAAGTGCACTCCAAAAGGCTATTCATTTAACAAATACCCATTTATTCAGAGAGGCTATTTACAGGATTTAAGAATGAGGAGCTAGCTTTCTCACTAACTCAAGTAACTATCAAGGGGGAAGCTTATCATATCAGGAGAGAGAGCTTACAAAACTTTTGCACGACAACAATTACCTGGAGTTTGAGTAGGTCCTTGATGTAGGTTTGTCCTTAGGCACATCCAAAGAGGTTCAGGATTGAGTTGAGTTCAGGTGCTAAGAAAGGGTTAAGAAGCGGCGAAGGTGGGACGCACACACACCCGCACATAAAAGTTCACACTCGCTGATGGGAAAAATCTGCTGTCGTCATTGTCCCCTCCTGTTTATAAGGGGGTCTCTCCTGGGTTTTTCCCATGACTCTATTCAGAGTTTAGTATTTTGGACCCAATGATCGAGTTTCACTCATTATTTCTGAGTGACGCATATGAGGTGTCACTTTAAACAAGGAACTAAGTCTGTGGAAAACATTTTAATCACTGAGTTGCTCAAAAATTGTTTTGAAATTATCTTATTTCAAACAACAAAAATGTTATAATAATTTATAATGATTTTTTAATAAAAGTTTCCTGTAAATGCAGTTCTCACAGTATTAATATAGATTAACATATTTCAAAATGTATTTTCATTGCATTTATTACTTACATACATAGAGAATTTTTACTTTCTAACTTTTTGTAGATTTGACATTAATATAATAGGTAATTTTATTTTAAAAGATAATTATTTTTTTTCAATAATTTCTTTATTGATTCATTGAATTATTTGTACATACAATGCAATTTTAAGAATAAAATTATATTACGTAACTTTTTATCATTGAATTATAAATGATCTAGAAGGCATTTTATTGTGAATTATTTGTATATGATATATATTATTTTCAAGTCTTGAATAAAAAGTAGTAAAAAAAAATCTTGTTCTACAAAGCTAAACTTTATCCTAAGACATTCACGAATTGTTAATTTTTGAATTTTTTCATATGTAATGATAATTATCAAGCATAATGATAAATATTAGTGATCATAATTAAACATAAGACTTTAGAAATTCTTTTGTAAAATATCATGTATATACAATATATAGCCCTAATTTCAGAATTATAGATAAAATAAAAATATAGTAAATTATTATTAATAAATAATAAATGTTTTTTAAAAAGTTTCAAATATAAAATTTTTACAAAAATTATGCTAACTTTTTAGATATTAAAAAAAGGACTATTTAAAATAAGTAATATTTACTAGTTTTTTCAATTTATTTTTTTTTTTTCATTAAACTGTTTTCTACCAAAATATTATAAATTTTACAATAACTTGTATATATTTATCAAATAAATAATTTCATACTGTTGCCTGGGAGTAGGGAAAATTCTAATGTTTATAAAATTACCTAATACATTTAAGCTAGTTAGCTAACTTCTTGTTGTAGGTCAATTGTTTTAGCAATACCACTCCCTTCGATTTATCGGCTTTCATTAGGACTATGTTGTTCTGTTGTAACCAATGTCTCGAATTTCTTCAAACCAATGTCTTCAAATTCGAGACATTGGTTACAAGAGAACAACATAGTCCTAATGAAAGCCGATAAATCGAAGGGAGTGGTATTGCTAAAACAATCGACCTACAACGAGAAGTTACGTGAATATATTGCAAGCACTGAATGTCAGCTAGCACCTGTCCATTTTTTAGAAACCCTGCAGCAAAGGGTTAAAAGGTTCACGTCCATCCTTTAGCACGACTCTTACATATGCAAAACTCCACCGTCTGTGCGCCAAGAGCACCGAGAATATTTGCTTTTGCCAAAACACACAAACCCGGGATACCAAATACGCCCTGTAATAGAGAAATGTAACTCTCCAACTTTCTTAATCAAAAAACAATTGGTCAAATTCTTCCAATCTAAGGCTCAGCAACATCCACTCTCGATTAACAACTCTCTACAACTAATAGATCTCAAAAACATTTCTCTAATGGACGACGAATATATGACAGTCTTGGACTTTAAGTCGATGTATCCATCGATAAAATTGTCTCCTTGCTTCTGCGCATTAAGAGATTTTTTATTTGCCAATGTTGAAAATGCGACACATCATCACAATCAAATACTAGAACTTGCACACCTAGTGTGTTATACATCGTTTTTTGAGTTTGAGAACGTTGTATTTGCAGGGAAGAGGCGTACCGATGGGTAGTCCCACATCGGCGATTCTATGTGAGTTGATCTTACGGCAACTTGAAAACAAAATTCTACCCGAATTTCAACACCTTATCATTTTGTACACCAGATATGTCGACGATATATTCATCTTGTGGCAACCTGACTTACAGCAATTTTTGGATAAGATCAATAATAATCCTTACGGTTTATTACTACAAGTGGACCAGGAGAGTGATAGTATTATAAATTTTTTGGACATTTCCATCGATTGCGGACAGGGAGAAATCAGGACCGGCATATACAGAAAACCATGCTTTCAACTCACTTTAATTCCACATAATTCAATCGATCCGCATCACATCAAATTGGCGGCCTTTAGGTCCTGGATAAAAAGGGCTTATACACATTGTTCTAGTATAAAAGACACGATGGCGGAGCTAAACTACATTCTAAAGATTGCTGAACAACACGGATACCAAAAGGAAATCATAAAGAATCTTATTACAACCTTCCAAACAACTAAACAACGGCATCCCACAGTAGACCATAGACAAAAGATGGTTTTAAATTATGTCCCGTTTTTGAGACAAATACATAAAGAAACGGCCAAAGCTAATGATTTCAGTGTTGTATATCAACGCAATCCTACAGTTTTCAAACTATTAAGAAACGATAAGAAGCGTTATGACTGGAAATCGGCATCAGGAATCTATTCTATACCATTACATGATCAGCATTTTAATTCGGATCTTGTCTACGTAGGCGCAACAATGCGCAAATTGCAACAACGTATCAAAGAACATAAATATACTATTAATAAGAAACTTGACAACACCGTGCTATCGTCTTACGCAACGCAACACGACATTCAAGTCCATTGGGATTGGGCGGAAATTATTAAACCTACAACAAATTTACATACAATGAAATATCTGGAGAAATTAGAGATCTTTAAGGCACACAAGAAAACTGGTTGCATCAACCATAGAGATGCGGACTCTTTATCTACTGCATGGCAATCCTTTTACAAGCATTAATGACTTTATTTATTTTTATTTGTTAAGTGACATTTTTTCAGATTAATTTATATTTTTCGTTTATTTTATCTACTTTTCCGTTATTTATATTTTAATTTCGTATTTACGTTCTTTTTTTGTGTACGATCAAAAACGTTATTATATTATTAATTTTTATTAGCTGGATTATTAAAGGTGTGTTTTATTAGTAATATATTTATCCAGTTCGTTCGTTATATAAGTATTATTTAGAAATATATTTATCTCATTATTTAGCTTTATGATTTTGGAATATAATTTTAATGTTTGTTTTTTTTTTTTTATAGATTTCAATATCTATTCAAGATTTAATACAAAAAAATATCATAAACTTTTATTACTGATAAGATTTATTAAAAATTGTTTTTATATTGTAGTTGTTCTTCAGCTTTCTTTCAAGAGGAACGTTCTGCTCTTCAAACAAAGAGAAACAAAATTAGGCAACTTCAACAAAGAAAAGTTGTAGATCTTGCAAATTTTCGTGATCTCCCTGCAGAAATTCCACTTCCTCTTGTAATTGGAACAAAAGCAACAGGTTATAAATAATTGTTTTCATTAATTATTGATATTGTAAATATTTATTCAAATAATTAATAATTTTTTCATACAATGAAATATCTGTATTGGAACAAAAGCAACATGTTATAAATAATTGTTTTCATTAATTATTGATATTGTAAATATTTATTCAAATAATTAATAATTTTTTCAATATTTCATATTTAGTGTGTGATGGTGGTCACGTGTATTAAGTTTTTAGACAGACCCTATTCCTAACAGATCATAATCATTTCTGCAGATTATTTTGGAATTTTGAAACAAAAAGATAACAGTTTTGTTTTTATAAATATAAACTTATTTTCAGTAGAAAAAATATTTATTATAATCAAGAGTATCTGCAGGATTTTGGAGATCTTGGAGAAAAACAAATGAGTTAAAACCAATTGAATCAGTTGAATCACTAAAATCAGGTTTTTTAAAAAGCTATGTTTCTAATTATATTACCTTCATCTGTCTTTATGACAGGGAATAATAAATATGTATTAAAAAAAGCAAGAAAAAAGTTCACTTATCCTAAAATGCATGGAATATTCTAAAATAATACATCCTCTCAATATAGCTTAGAGAGGGGCCAACTCATCATATACAGAGTATAGTTACTTCAGTGAAACAACTGTTAAAGCAAATTTTTCATACAAAATATCTTTGCTTTAAAAAATTTTTATTTGAAAGAAAGCAAAGAATAAAAGTAACTGTAAAAGCCCACAAAAGCAGGAAAAGTTATATAAACACTCAGACACCTGTACTGGTTCCAGCAGGTTCGTTTGTTGGAAAAAATGAAAATGACCATTTTTGATTACTTTCAGAGATCTTTGTCAGGTTGTTATACATTTCTGTAAGTTGAACACTATTACTCGAACAACTTTTCAAAAAAGGGAACGTTCTACAGTGGTGCCTCGTATAACGTACTTAATCTGTTCCAGATGCACGTCCATTAAGTGAAAAGTCCATTATACAAAACACATTTTCCCATAGAAATACATGTTAAAACATATAATTCGTTTTGCAGTATAAAATAACTGTACTGTACCATAAAAAAAAATGAAAATGGAGCAGTCACCAATTATGCTGGGTAGTCAGATGTTGTGAGGAGGAGGTGGAGGAACACTTTTTTTACACATTCATACAGATACAGACTTTTTACACGTTGCAGCAGGTCTCTTTTTATTGTTTTTTAATCAGAGTCATATTCAGGAAAGGCTACCGGAGCTTGCAAGGTCATCTCCTCTTGTTCCATTCTTTGTTTTTTGGCAGCTGGCTTCTTGAAAAACATGTCCAAGGTGGTCTGTTTCTCTTTCTTTAACACCTGTCGGAAATGATGGGCAAGGGTGTCATTGTCCTGTTGGCCTCAGCTCTGTTTGGATAATGAGTGTTGGTAAACTCCCGAGGCTCTCCCCATTTGACAAGGAAGTTTTTGTCAACTTTCACTCCTTCTGATGATGTCTTGCTTTGTTTCAATTGAAATCACCTTTCTGTTTTTTTAGAAGCGACGATTTGCACAACACTTGAATAAATGTAAATACCCTGCACTGAGATGATGTACGTAATAAACAAGGGAGCAAGCCGAATCCCAACGGGAACTACTAATAATATATTCTAATAATACTAATATATTATAAAAATAGCAGATGGTCGTTGGCAACGGCAAAAGTGTGGAAACATCATTTGCACTTGGTCGCAGAAAGACTGTTGTTCGCAGCCAATCTGTTGCTTGAGCCACGTAACGGCCAAACAGAAAGTCTGTTGTTCGCAGCATTCGTTATTTGAGGCGTATGTTATATGAGGCACCACTGTATATACAGTGACTATATTAAAATTTAAAAATAAATTTTAAAAAATGTAATGATGAAACATGACATAAAAAATTTATAGACATTGTTACAACATTTAAAATGTTTACTAGTCTGTCACCAATTGTATTATGGAAACTGGTATATATAGTTTATAGATTTTTAAGATTAAGATACTAGTTTTTTTTTTTTTTTTCTTTTGTTAGGCTTGTTATGTGACAGTTTGATTTGTATTTTTATTGTATTGTTTAACATAAGAGCTTTGTTTGTATTTTGATAATTGAACAATATAGAAAAATAAGCTTACTTTTATGTGATATAAAATATTATCATTTCTATTAGCAGCAAGTGATAGAAATTACTGTAAATTTATCATTATTTTCACTACTATTAAAGCCAAATGATTGCCGAGTTACATTGCCCTATATTACTATTACTATTATTAATTAATAGGTAAAATAATATAGCCCAATATAATTTGGCAATCATTTGGATTTAATATATAACTGTCAGATTTGGATGTTTCTATTTCACTATTATACCAATTTTTCTCAATAAAAACATTTCAATTATATGAGAAGCAGTTTTTTTCCCAACCTCTGATAGTCCATAAAACAAAAACAAGTGTCAATAACAAAATGAACTTATTACCGAAAGTTAGGTACAAACATGATTACTTTTTGACATAATCACTGTGAAAATTGAGGCATTTGTCATATCTGTGGACAAGCTTTTCTGTCCCCTCTTCATAGAATGTTGCCATCAGTGAATTTGAGATGGCTTAACGACATTGTTTTGAAGATCGTCATTAGTCTCAAACCTCTGCCCTCCTAGCCATGTTTTCAGTCCAGGAAAGCGGTGGCAGTCTTCACACATTAAAAACTTCTATGCTGGGTGGAAGTTTTTGCCACCTTTAAACACCCATAGACTTCCACCTCTTTCCTGAACAGTAAAAGTGGCTAGGAGGGCAGAGGTTCAAGACTAATGACGATTTTCAAAACAACTTTAGGACCCTTTCAAATCATTGGCAGCAACATTCTATGAAGAGGGGACAGAAAAACTTGTCCACAGATATGACAAATACCTCAATCTTCACGGTGATTATGTCAAAAAGTAACCCTGTATGTACCTAACTTTTGCTAATAAGTTCATTTTGTTATTTACACTTGTCTTTTTTTTATGGACCATCAAAGGTTGAAAAAAAAACAGACTACATATTATAGTTATGTGATCATAAAATATATAAAATTGATATTAATAGTTTTATGAATAAAGTAATTAATGAATTACATTAATAACTGCAGATAGAGGGCAACACATTGAAACATCTTTTTGTAGAAAAATACAACCATTAAACCAAAAATAATTATTGTATATGACCACCTTGAGCAAAAACCTACTGAACATGAAGACTAATGCATAAAAATCGTGCATTATTTACATAAAGATGACACAACCCAGTATCATTTTCAATTGAAAATTAAGTAGACATATTTTAAAGTCTTTTTCTTTAAACCTTTTTGCCATCCAACACAAAAGTAACAGTAAGTCGGCTTGAAGATATAATAAATTCTTCATAAAACAACATAAAACATTGAAAAAATGAACACAAAATTAAAATTGATCAAAAGCTGATCTTTTACTTTAGGATTTGGCATATTTTTACAATAAAACATACGAAATATGTCTACTTAATTTTCAATTGAAAATGGTCTTGGGTTGTGTTGTCTTTATGTAAATAATGCACGATTTTTATGCAAAAATTGTTTGTGAATACCTGAAAGCACCACCAGAGGGCTCAAAGCAGTAGTTAAATATGGCTACAGGACATGATAGTTATTGTAAGAAAAATTTTTTATTGTTGTTTTATTGTAAAAAAAAATGCCAGATCCTAAAATAAAAGGTCGATCAGTGTTTGATCAATTTTAACTTTTAATTTTAATTGTGTTAATTTTTTCAATAATCTATTTATGTTGTTTTATGAAGAATTTATTATATCTTGAAGCCAACTTACTGTTACTTTTGTGTTGGGTGGCAAAAAGGATTAAAGAAAAAGAATTTATGTCTACTTAATTTTGAAATGAAGACTAATATTTAACAGTAAAGAATGTTCTTTAAATATAGGCACTGCAGAATGTAGAGAGACAATAATTTTAAGGGATTGCACTAAAAATCCATATACAAAGTTGGAAGTGCTATAATACCAAAATGTCTAAAAAAAATTGATAAGCAAAGACAGCATGCATTAGCTCATTTGTGTAAGAAATTTCATGTTCATGGGTTCTGTCATGTTTATGATGTGCAAGATCAATGAAGAACATCAAAATTTGATAGCTCAGATTAATCATGCTAATAATAAACCAGATTTTCAGTGTTAATAAATATTTCAGAATTGGTCATCAAACTGTTCATGATGTCACCATAAAGACTGACGAGTGCTCAAACAATGAGCAGAACTTCAGGATCTGCTAGAATTGCTGACAACATGCCTGTAAAAAAATTGACATGCTTTTTAAAAACAGTTGATGGATGAAATCAAGTGCAAAACTTGCTCAGATGTATGAAATGTTTCCTACTTATGCAAAAAAAGTTATGAAATCAGCCATTATAAAGTTTATGCCTCAAAATCAAAGGATAAACAACAACAGCAGCAAATGGAAGGAATGAAAATCATGATTGTGAACTTCTGGAAAATTCAGTTCATTACATTATCTATGACAATGAACCTTCTTTTATGCTTGAAGTCATTTACTGACAAAAACTACTCAAATGGTCATTGTATCTTCTAGCCTGATTGTACAGTACATCATGTCAATGTGCAGTCATTACTATCATAAAACTTGAATATTTGGGTATTAATTAGGTAAAGAAAGTAAATTATCCAATATGCCTCAAGTTGTGGAGTATAGAAAGGTTTTGGGCTCTTCTTAAGCAAAAAGTTTATCAAGATGGATGGAAAGGAAAGCAATATCATGCTCAAAACTTGAATTGAAAAAACTTTAACAAAGTTTGACAAAAATTATTTTTGTTAACTAGCAATAAACATAAAATCTCTGCTGCTACTATCAATACTTGAGGATCTATTTCTGTGATTAAATAAATTTGAATAAAATTTATACACATAAAAAGCATTTTTAAGAGGGGAGAATATTATTCTAACCTCAAACTCTCTTTCACGGTTTGGAGGGAAGAATTTTCTAACCCCCCTTTTCTATCCAAATTCGAATAGTTGCGTGTATTTTCTCATGCGTGTAGAGAGCCAGCAATGGAAGAAGGGGGTGGATACAAAAAGGGGAAATTTGTGGCTCGTTAGGAGCGAACCGCGAAGTGGTTCTGCAGGAACTAAGTGAACTGCCAGATACTCTGACCGTTAGTGGAGATATACGGACAGCGTCAGAGTGCTCTAACTGGGCGACGCGTGCGTATAAATATGTCTAGTCCGACGGTATATTTACAGGATGGTCCAGTGAATCTTTGAGTTCTGGTTTCGCAGCAAATGAATCTGTACAGTTTCATAACTTCTGATTTCTCTTTGTTATTATTGTCGTTTTATTCATTTTTCTCTGTCAAGAATACCGAAATGTTGCCGGTTTAACTCATATATTTTACTTTTATTCCCATACCACTTCATTAATTCATGAAATAAAGCAATTAATTTCGATTTAGATAAAATCGTTTTAAGTAATTCATGAAGATATTTGTTTCGAATTCAAGATGGCAATTTGTGTAAGCCGTTATGATCAAATGCAAATTAATACATTAAAAAATAAGGAAAAAATAACGGGAAAAGTTTAGCATCAATATAAACAATATTAAACAAAAGATAACGATTGGAGTTTTGAATTTTTACACTATTTTTACGGCGCAATTTTAATAAGTTCACTAATTATATATTAATTGAATTGCGAATTTACTTCATAAGCTAATGAATTTTGCCATTTAAAATGCTATTAATATTATAAGTTTAAAAATATTTTCAATTTTGTCTGTTCTTTAATCTTTAAAATTTATTAACTAACATTTTTATTTGGCTGCAATTTGAAAAAGATTGTAGACTTATAAATTCCCCTTTATCACTCGTTCGTCCGTCCGTCTGTCTGTCGTTCCTTAATCTCGAAAATAGAGTTAGATAGATGAAAGACGAGACCAGATATGAAAACTTGGGGACAGAAGACCCGGATTAATTATATATGAACGTACGATGCAGACCAGAAGTCATGCAATTCAAAAATTTTTTCCGGAAAGATGTTAGATAGATGACAGGCACGACTCTATTATTAAAGGAAACGGGCAAGCTNTAATATAATAATAATCAATATTTTTCAAGTTTTTCATGATTTTATAAGTTTATGATGTATGAAAACAGGACACAGAAACTATTTGTTTAAAAAACTCATTGAAATTCAATAGATGTATATACTAGTGTTTTAATATTATCATATTCCAAACTTCTACAAAAAGATTTTTGATCAAAACTGTCTTATAGATTTTAACTTTGATTACTAAGTAAATAATGAAAGAATATTATGGAAATTGTAAGATGAGCTAGACAGTTTAAACACACATTGAATATTAAACTTGTATGCAAATTTTTTATTACAGGATCACAGCATAAATTGGTAATTTTTCACTGATTTTTCCTGTGTAATTGCATGTTAATACCATTCCTCAAATTTGACAGTTCTGAAAATTCCTGTAACGTGTCTTCTCTGCATGTGTAAATTTCAATGTCTTATGTTATTCAGTTTAGGGATATTGTTTCATTTACCAAACAGTTCCTTCAAACTTTCTGATAACTAGGTAGTACAGTAGAGCATTGATTATCCGACTCAATTGGGGACTCAGCTTGGTCGGATAACTGAAAAGAAGGAAAAAAATACATTATTAGTATAGTATATTATGATATTAGTATATCCCATGTAATTAGTTTATTAATATTAACCTATTAACCAACTTTGCGTTGAATTTTCATTGATGTTTAGCCTAACAAATGTTTTTTTTTTTTAAACAATAATCATCGCTATTGTATCGTTAAAAATTATTTTAAAATTATTTTATTGCTCACGAAACAAACAACCACTCATAATTAGAAAATTAAGTCTCGTTTAAATATTGGCCTCCCTTCAATGGTCGAGCCGTTGATGCCAGCTAAAATATGCAAATATTTAACAAAAATAATATTAAAGTAGCCAAGATATAGCCAAATATTGTAATGCCACATCACTAGCAGACATTTCAAATTTGCCGACTAGAACAGTCGTTAACCAATGTGACGGTTAATCGGGAGTCAGATAATCAATGCTCTACTGTATTATGAAATGAGTTTAGCTGGAAATAAATGATGAGAGGATGGGAGTGTTTTTCAGAAGGAGCAGTGAGCAATTTTTTGTATTTTTTTGACATGAAATATATCCACAAAAACAATTAAGTTGTTGAGGATCATAACACCCAGACTAGTTTATAGAGACAAGCATTCAAGGTTCTAATGATTTGCAGACTATGCATATCATTATGTCATTCATAGCTGACAGATATCCATAACATCATGACTACTTCTTGTGGCATTCATAAAATACTTCCATGGTGCCATTTTTGATGATGTTAGAGCAGAAAATCATCATCTTATGCAGGTGATTGCAAGACAAAGAAAAATTATATGTGATGGCATGCATAAGGTGGTAATTTTCTATAGTGCTTTTTTTTTTTTTTTAAGTGTCTGTGATAAGTGGAAAAAATATTTTTATCAAAATTTTTACAGTTAGATGAATAACATGTATCATGAGGATATCACAGAAGCACAGCTAACTGTGCCAATTTAATAAAAATGCTCATGAAAAACTAGCAGTAGCAAAAAATTACTGTATGTAAACTATTTGGTTAAAATTATTTTGAAATTAAATATAAAGGATGCCTTTGCATTTTATAGCACGCCTTCGTAAACCTCAAGATGGTCTTTTTACGGGATCTATTGATGCTGTTGATACTTCTAATGCAACCTACAGAATAACTTTTGACCGTCCAGGCCTAGGCACTCATTCTATACCAGATTTTGAAGTGCTGGTATGATCTTTTATTTAGATACTTAAAATTATTATTTATCCTAAATGTTAATACAGTTGTATTGAATTAATAGAGTAATGATCCTTCAGAGATGATGCCTATATCTGCCTTTGCTCAAAAGCATAGACCCAGAAACATATTTTATACTCCTCCAAGATTTGGATTAAATTCCGCTTGGCCACAATTGGTAAATACTTGATTATATATGTAATCTTATTTTTTAATATTACATGAACATTTAAAGTTTTTACTTTTTATTAAAGGATAATGATCCTTTATTGGGTGGATCATCATTACAGTCTGATTTATCTTTAATGGAAGAAGGAACTTTAGGAGGATTTCCGAAAAAGTTTCTTGTATTGTTGGTAAGTTAGTCAGATATTATTATTAGTTATCCTAACTTACTACTTTTCAGGAGACTAATCTGAAAAACTGATTTTCAACTCCCAAGTACTTTTGAGCCTGTGTGGCTCATCTTCAGGAGCTTCTTATACTGCATTTCTTAGTTTTTGAACATATGCTCAAGAAATTTTGCATTGTATACATCTTCCAATTCTTTGTTCTTTCTCTGGAATATTTTTTCTTTAAAATGAGTAATTATTTTATTGTGACATCGTCACAATGCCGTACTGCAAACTGAAAATTTGTATATAATTAATTGGGGCCTTCTGCCCCTAAGCTTTCCATATCTGGTCTTGATTTTCATCTATCTAACTCCATTCTTCAGATTAAGGAAGAACAGACAGATTACAGTGGGAATTTATAGTTACCATAAGTTTTTTGCATGGTCTCGAGAAAAGTAGTTAGTTAGAATAACTTATGAAGTTCTTATGGGAATAGGATTTGATATGATTTATTGATCTAATACTTTCTTTACTGATGTTCAGAACTTTGATGATACAGTAGAGCATCGATTATCCAACTCAATTGGGGACTCGGGTTGGTCGGATAACCGAAAAATATGAAAAAATACATTATTAGTATAGTATATTAGTATATCCCATATAATTAGTATATTAGTATATTGCTGTTAACCTACTTTGCGTTGAATTTTCATCGATGTTAAGCCTAACAAATTTTTTTTAAAAATAATAATCGTTGTTATTGTATCGTTAAAAATTATCTTTGAATTATTTTATTGCTCACAAAACTAATAACCACTCATAATTAGAAAATTAAGTCACATTTAAATACTGGCCTTCCTTCAATGGTCGAGTCGTTGATGCCAGCTAAAATACAACAATTTAACAAAAATTTAACAAAAGTAATATTAAACTAACCAAGACATAGCCAAATATTGTAATGCCACATCACTAACGGACATTTGAAATTTGCCGACTAGAACGGTCAGTTAACTGATGTGACGGTTAATTAGGGGTCGGATAATCGATGCTCTACTGTAATTTTATATAAATTCACTTGTTATAAATCTGAATTACTTGGTGGCCTGGTCAGTTCTGCCTGTGTAATTTTGTATTTATATTTCTGATTTTGAAAGTACAAGCATTAGTTAACACAATTAACCAAAAGAGAAGAACTTTATGAACAAAATTCATTAAAATTATAGGTGAATCTATAAAATATTTTGACATAAAAATTTTACTTTAGAATATATTCAATTGATGGTACTAAAATTTTAATGAAATTTGTTTTCTAATTTAAAATCTAAAAAATTGGCTAATTTATTTATTATAGATGTAATCAATAATTATCATCATCATGTATCTGAAGATATATTCAAAGATATCTAATGTATAATTACAATGCGCTTTATAATTCAATAAATGTTATAATGATGTGAATGTTTATAGTCAATAATAATGTTTTGAATGGAAATTTTTGAAGTAATGAAAACAAGTACACTTAATTCGTAAGTGCGACTGTTATTGTTGACTATTAAAATTGTTCATTAGAGATTTAAACAAAAATTTAGCATTAGCTTTTTATATTCTTAAATGTCTTAATGATTTTAAAATAGATAATGATTTTAGCAGAGACTGTTATTTTGTAGCGTACAAAATTGATTAGTACTGTTATGCTTTAACTTTTATAATGGAAAATAGCAAAAATGATCAAGAAAACAAATTCAAATAAAAAATTTTGCATTATAGTATAATGGTTCTTTAAATTCAGATATTCTTCGTCTTCTTTGTAGTTTCTAATTTCCAAAGACTATTAATTCTTTTTCTGAATTTTATAAATTACTTGTATAAAACAACAAAAATAACAATTTATTTTACAAATTATATACATTTCTCAAACAATTACTGAGCAAAAGTGAAAATCCTGGAGAGGAGACTTGACACCCATTCTATAAAGTAACTTTTCTAATTGGATTCTTTCCAATGCATCAATTCAAATCCTTTCACTTGAATCCTGTTACGAGTCTACATTCCAGAAAAAGTTCTTATTTTGTGTGTTATGTTCCAAAAAAGAATAAGTAACATTTTACAAATTCAAATTGTTGGATTCTGTCACATCTAACATTATTTATTACTATTTTTATTTATAATTAATTACTATTTAAAATTGTAATTTCAGTGTGTAATTTCATAAAATTAATAAATTAATTTGTGCATTATATTAATGTCTATTTATTGTAAATGATATTTGAGCATTTTGTATTAACTACAAAAACAAATGTTATTTATCATATTTGTTTAATTATGTTTATTATAATTAGTTTATTATTATACTGAATAGGTACGTCTTTCCAAGATATTAGCTGCAAAAAAAGAAAAAATAACTTGGTTGAAAGAGATGAATACTGAAGCTGAAAAATTGGTTGGTATTTAATTTAATTTAATTTTTTTTTTATGATGAAGAACTGTTATTTATTCCGACTTGGAAATTTATTTACACCAGTAGATAATGGAACAGTGATGTCACATATATACATGAATTTACAATATTTTGGTTAGTTTACGACTGATTATTTTGTTATTCTTCTAATACGTGATCATTTTGATCACTTCATTCACAGATGATGACTTAACAGGAAATAACAGATTTCTTTGTTCAGCATTTGAAATTAGAGCATTCCAATGAGCATGGTTCCTGAGAAATGCCACATGACAGCACACAATGAGCAAACAGCGGGCTCGAGTGGTAGCCACGTTTAATCTTTGTCCATCGTTCAAAAATTCAATATTTCCGGAATAATTATTTCCTCTGACACAAGACGATATAATGACATCTTTTTCACATCCTTGAAAGCCGTCGACGTGTTTATTTCTATTCTTTGCTGATATTCCTTACTCAAACTCGTTTGATTCTCAAAATATCCAGTGAAAACCTGTCTCTGGCCCTGATAAGGCGTAATGATGCCTATGGAACTGGACATGGGAAGAATATGTAACAGTTCCATGCATAGTTTGCTGACAAAATTTGCTTCAGGCATGTTATATATATTTGCAGGATTATCTTTACATTCTTGACTATCTATAATATCTAACATTATGTATGGTTTTATAGGAAATTGAGGACGAGTTCCACTAGATATTAATCTAGTACCATAAAAATGTTGAGAAGGAAATTTGCAGATTTCGGGATGCATACAATATTGTTCAGTCAACATAAAAATTGGACTATGTTGCTTCATTTGCAAAAAATATTTGTAAAACCTTTCAAATAAAGATAACTGAAATCCACACTGTGCAGCAGTTTTCAAAGTAACTAATGCTGGCAACAGTTGTGGATCACCCACTAACACCAATTTATTGATTCCATATTGGAGGGGGATCAAAATTTCAGGTTCTGTGCATTGAGTAGCTTCGTCCACGATGCAACAAGTGAATGTAACAGAACTATTTCTACCAAAAGCATTTTCTAGTGGTGCATTCTTACAACTGTTTAACGTAGTGAGTATGATGTCCGCTTTGGTTAAGATCTCTATCCTTAATTTCTGCTTATAATACTTGATGTTTCTAAAACTATTGTTTCTGTTTCTAAAGTAATCAAGCCTCTGATAATATTTTTCTAACTGTAATTGTTTAGCTTTTATTTCACTTTTGGGTTGGTATTTAATAAAATAATTTTCCTTATATAATGAAGTAAATTTATTTTTATATTGTTTTATTGAACTAGTTTTAGAATAAAATTTTTAAATTAATTTGGTTTTTAGTCATATGTATTAATAAGAGTGTGATTGTTATACAGTATTTTGTTAAACTTATAAAAGTTAAAAGAAATCAAAGCTGAAAGTTTCTATCTTTTTAAAAATTTTCTAACTTTTATAAATAATGGAATCTGTGATACAAAAAATGAAATAAATCCATTGAAATTCAGAAAATTTACAAAAATAATTGATTACAAAAAATTTCTTCAAAATTTGTCCTTAATATATCTTGGGAACACAACAGTCTTATGGTGGAGCTGATCTTTTATTTTCTTTGAAATTGTTTGGACAAATTTATTGTGAGATTAGAGTCTGTGAGACTCTGCCCACTATCTAGGATGGCTAAATACTTTTTGTCTTCAGGATAGTGATATCCTTTCAACATCAGGGTTCCAACAGTAGCTAGGGAAAGTCTAAATTTGCACCCTAACTTGTGAGTACTTCTAATTGGCAGTTTAATATCGGAGTGGTGATGTCTGAGGTCTAATCAGAGGGAAATCAAGTGGCAGAGGGATGGTGTTGATTCATGAATGGAGGTAGAGACAAATCCACTGATAACTAAACTACTCTGTTTATTGATATATATATATACGATGATGATTAAGCATACAAGGTATATACATAGACTATTGAGTTTCTAACTACTAAATTCTATTCAACTGAGAGAGAGAGAGTTCAGCTGAAAGCTAAGTAGAATACCTCTTTTCATATAGACTGTTTTCTTCTCATAGTTGAGTAGTCATTGTCATAGAGGTTGGGGGTTTCTCAATGGAGACAGATGAGCTTTGGTCCACTAGCTCTAAGTTTGAACTAGTTCCAGCTCCGTTAACTTCCAGGGAAGTGTCTACCAGCTTCTATGGCAGAACCCTTTCAGAGCAGTGTGTTAGCCCCTTGTATCCTGTAATCTCCTCCAATCGGGGGTTAAGGTTTTCATCATAACTCAAGTTGACAGATGTTTGTCAAAAATGTGCGATAACATCTTGCCACGGGAAGTCAGGAGTCAAAAAAAAGCTTAGTTTTTCTTTTTTCTCAACTTTTTTCACCAACATACAAAAATGTGTCATTTTTAACGACCAAATAATAATTTATATTTCGAATTATTAAATAAAATTATTCACTGTCTCCTGGACCTCACATTATAGTATTTTATTATTTTTTATTACATATATATTAAAATAAGAAAATATTTTATAAAATTTTATTTTTACTTCAAATAACAGCGTTCCTACCAAGAACCAATACCATTAGAATTTCAAAAGCAATATGCATCTGTAATTTTAGAATTTGAAAAATTAAATAAAGATCTAGATGAATATCTGACTGGAGTGCAGCAATATTGTCAAGAGGTAATATTTTGTAATTAATTTATTAAATAAATAACTTATTAAATCAATCAAATTTCTATCAAGTTTCTATAAATTTCTAAAGGGGAAAACTATAATTTAAACATTTTTATTACAATCTGAAATTTCATTAATGTATTCTCACAAATTTTGTTATTGTTTTCCTTCTGTTGTTTGGTTAGAATATATTAAAATTTCTATATTTTTGTAACTATCTCTCTATAATAAATACATTATTTGTTTCATATATTTCAGAAATTAAATGATGCTTAATGATACTTAAGTTCATTTTATATTTAAACTTTAAACTTAATTTAAAAATCTCTAGTAAAATCCAAAAACCTCATAGAGTTGTATAAAATGAGATAGAATTGATTAATTATCCAGCTATGCAATTTTGGAATTAAGAATACAGAAAATACTTTACTGTATTTTCAATTTTAAATTATTTTATGGTTTCATTTGATGAAGCATTGTATTTAAGACAAAATGTGGCATTCAGATTTAATATTTAATTGCTATATTTAGAGACCATATTGTTGCTGTAAAACTATCAGACTGCTTTTTAACTAATATATATATATATATTAGTTTTTATATATT